AGACTGCAGTGGGCATCGCAGCCTTCCTGCGTGTGGGGCTGAAGGTGGCGCAGCTTCAGGGCTGCTAAAAGTAAAGCCAGTCTTGCCTCCTCCTCCCACCTCCCTGTAAGAAACACCGGGCAGCCTGCCTCTCCCTTCATCCTCCTCCACCCCTGGGAGGGGACCCTGGGCACCAAGTCCGTGCTGTGCCCCACCTCCTCAGTTGGACTTATGGGTGCAGGCGCATACCTGAGTGCAGCTCGTGTGCAAGGGGAAGAAGCTCCCCCCTGTGTTGGGAAAGGGGCTGGCAGGAGAGGGAGAGTGAACTCCCAGTATTTGCTTTCAATGAGCTGTTTTGCCCCCTGTGACAGGTCTGTGAGCAAAGCTACCTGGTAACCAGCACCCCCTTCCTCCGCAACACAGCCCCGAGAGATGCATCTCAGCCTCCTCCTGCAGCTGCTCAGAGCCCAGCGCTGCCAAGACATTGCACAGTGCTCCGAGGAGCACAGGGTGCCATGGGGTAGCGGCAGGGCCCTCATCCCTCTCCACCTTCTCCAAAGTTTGTGTGGCAGGGCCTGCCTGGAGGCTCAAGCTGTACACGAGGTTTTGACGTGGCAATTCTGGGGAAACCCTTGGACAAAAGCTGCCTGCAAGTGCCGGGAGCTGGACTCAATGGCTCGAGAGGCCCCTGCCAGTCCTGTGTTCCTGACAGCGGGGTCCCTGCCACGGGCGGTGGAGCGGCTGGTCCATGCAGAGGGTAAGTGGCAGCTGCAGTACAGCTGAAGCAGTGACTCTTGTTATCCGTCTGGCCAATGTCACGGGGGCTGAAATTCTTCCCATGCCACCAAACCTCGGTGCTGGATACTGGCAGGCGGGGAGCAAGGGGGGTGCTGACTTGTCTGATATGGCAAGAATGCCGTGAGCAGATGGAAGCTGATCCCTGTCAGCAGCGGGCTGGTCTCTGCCCTCCTCTGCTGCCCTTCCCCCATCTATTGTAATCGTCCTCCCAAGCCACATGGGGACATGGCTGGTAGGGCGGGATAAGCATTTGGGGAGGGAAGAAGAAGTTTGCTGCAGCCCAGTGGAAACCCTCTCTCCCCCCAGCTTGGATGCCAGCACAGCGCAATGGTAGATCCTCAGGGCAAGAGATGCAGAGAGGCTGCATGATCCCAGTGTGGCTGGGCAGGTGGAGTGGTTTGAGCACAATGATCTTCTAAGCATCCATTAACTAACTGCTTTCCTTTTGTGGCTGGGGCAGGATCCTCCTCTCCGGGGCTTTCACCCAGGGCAGGTTAGAGGGTGTCCTTGGTGCTTTGAATATCATGCATCATCACTGAGGTGAGGGTTCAAAGCGGAGACATGGCAGAGACCTTAGGAAGGGGGTGCCTGTGAATACAGGGGGCAGACACACTGGAGCAGGAGGCCCTTCCCAGTGCTGTGCTCCTCCGACCAGGAAGCAGCGATCCTCAGCTCTTAGCTCCATCACTGATTTGTTTGAGTGAGTCATGGGTTAATGGCTCCATGTCAGCTTGTCTATAACTGGGTCTGCATCTCCTCCCTCCATGGGGCTCTTTGGCTCCTTAATTAATTCTTATTAAGCACTTGGAGAGCCTCAGAGAGAAGGTGCAAAAGAAGTGTGAAGTTGTGTTGTCACTGAGGAGGCCCCAGATGCTTTAAGCTCTCCTGCGCACTCGGGCAAGACTGTTCAAGGTAGACGCATGCCGGGCTCCCCTGGATGTCTGTGGGAGCAGAGCAACTATGTGCCTCTACAAGCCTGTGCCTTTATGTCTTAGCTTTTGTTTGGATAGATGACATCTGCACCCACAAATGTGGATGCACAAGAAGTGCCTGGCACCCATTATCCATGCTCTGAGAAATTCAAAAGCTTTTACAAACACAAGCAGTTCACACCATCCAGATATGGGGAAACTGAGGCAGAGAAAACCTTCTTGTGTTACCCTCAGTAGTGGACCTGGTGAAAAGGAGTCCTCTCCAGCAGGCTCAGCCTGGTTTGGTGGCGGTTGAGGGAGGGATGGGGGACATCCATGCAGGAACCTCTGTCCCTTTCCTCCCCAAGCAGTGCCAGACTCAGGGCAGTGTCAGCGAGCTGTCTCTCACAGGTTGAATGACAAGGGCTCTGGTCCCAAGAGCCATGAGATCCATAGAGATGGGGCCCAGGCACCACTGGAGAAGGAGAGAGCTATGAAGTGCAGCAGTGGGGTGCATGGTCTCCCTGTCAACCCAGTGAGAAGCATGTCTGTGGGAAGCAGCATGTCTTGTGGCCAAGGACCAAGGTCTTGTTGCAAGCCGTGGGTTGGGGGCCCCTCATCTGGAGGCAGCCACTGGAGTTAGGCGAATGCTAAACTGGTATGAGAATAGAAGCGGCCTCATACGTCGGTCCACGCTTGCTCCTCGGACAACCTCAGGATCCCTTTCCCGATGGCACATGGCTTCCCTGGCAGCGGTTTACCAAACCCTGTTGCTGCACTGGTCAGCCCCGCTGGCTCCAGGGCTCTCTTTGGAGCCCATGCACTGTAGGTCCTCACCGTGCCCCGTTCTGCACTCGGTGCAGCCTGTATTGCAACCCGCGCAGGTGACTGGGGTTCATAGGCCCAGGCTGTCATGGGCTGTGAACAGCATCAGATAATTCTGGCTGACACAGTACGAATGCATGCTGTATTTAGGCCAGGCTCAGCGCTGGGGCAGGGGAGGGGAATTCATTAGCAATCCCATGTCTCCCTAGTCAGAAGGCAGGTGCTGCTGCTGGCAGGGTCTGGAGGCTGGAGGGCGAATGAAATGGTTGCTGCGGCAGTGTGTGTGCGAGTATGGGAGCAGGAGTATCCAACAGGGACTATTAACCCAAGGAGGGAGGGAGGTACTGGGGGCACCCAAACGGCAGCACCAAAGGAGAACTCGTGGCATAAAACTACATAAAAGGGAAACCTGACCTGGGGTCCTCATCTCTTGAGACCTTACAAGCCAGGCTGCACAGAGACCACAGGGAACCCTTCCCTGGCAAAGAGAGGAGCTGGATGGGCACTTCCCCAGCTCCGATTCCTGCCTTAAACTGGTTTGAAGCATCACAGTCAAGAACTACGTTTCCCAGCCGTCTCTGCAGCCCTGGGGAATAAGCAATTGGAAGATTTAAATAGACTAGGCCAGAAGCAACCAACCTTCGGCACATAGCATTCCCCTCCTCTCCTCATTATCCATTGGCTGTTTAACCTTTATTTCTGATGCTGGAGTGGCTGCTCAGCCTGGCATTAATTTTTTCTCCAAGCTTGCTAGGCCCATGAAGTAAACAGCCATGTGCATTCCTTACTCTATATTTAACAGCTGCAGTCTGTGCTGGGGGAGACGGCATGAGAAGGGGCTTTTTGTAGCTGCCCAAATTCATCTTTCTTGAGGGAAGGGAGGGGGGAGTGGATTGGGAGGGGAAAGAGGGATTTCTCTCCCCTGTTCGGTTTTCGAGAGCAGGCTTCAGCTCCAGAGACTGCAATGCCAGCCTCCCAAAGCCGGTCCAGAGCCAGAGACAGGAACAATGTCCTCAACAGAGCCGAGTTCCTCTCGCTGAACCAGCCCTTGAAAGGCAACCAGGAGGCCAGGGGCTCCAGCCGAAAGCCGAACAGCCAGCCGGGCCCGGCTCCCTCCCAGAACAACGGCACCAAGGAGCGGAGGCAGTCGCAGCAGCTGCCCGAGGAGGACTGCATTCAGCTCAACCCCTCCTTCAAGGGGATCGCCTTCAACTCCCTGCTGGCCATTGACATCTGCATGTCCAAGCGCCTGGGCGTGTGCGCCAGCAAAGCCTCGTCCTGGGGCAGCGCCCGCTCCATGATCAACCTCATCGGGATCACGGGGCACGGGATCCCCTGGATCGGGGGCACGCTCATCTGCCTGGTGAAGAGCAGCACGCTGGCTGGCCAGGAGGTGCTCATGAACCTGCTGCTAGGTGAGTCGAGCTCTCCACCCCCAGCCGCCAAGCCCAGCCCCTAGTCACAAGGGGCAGCTGCCTTCCCTCCTCCTCCGCTTCCTCCCCTCCACTTGCCTTATTCCAGGGGTTGTGGCATGTCTTGGCCATCCAGGGACCCCACGGAGCATGGGGCTGGCTCTGCCATCCTCTCTTGCTCTGAGGCACGCCTTGCTGTACAAGGGGTCCTGCTGGCTTCTGCAGGCACGTGCGTGGGTGAGGCATGGTTCGTGACCACGCTCTGGGTACAAAGACCGTGGCGCTCGTGAGATCCTTTTATTTAAGCTCCGTCCGTCTTGCTCAGGTTGAAGGGAGGGAGGGGGAGGTCAGTCAAGGGGGACCTGGGGCCATTCGAGTTCAGTGCTGTCTTGGCAAATGTTGCTGTGCCCCCTGCTCCCCTCCTGGAACAGCATCTGGATCCTCTCCCCAGAGGCCCCGCGGTGGAGTCGCCGTTCCCTCCTGCATGGCTGTGCCCCACAGCATCACCCACTGCCCTGTCTCACAAAGGGGTCAGGTCCCTGGGGTCCCTGCTGCCAAGTTCAGTGTCTAAACCTGACCAAGGGATGCTGATTGAGGGACAGGCCTTAAAGATCAGACCTGAGATGGCCAGCTCTTCACCTAGTGCCTGAGGCAGGTGTCCATGGCCAGGTGCCTGAGTGCTTGGCCTGGGTAAAGAGCTCTCTCTGTCCCTGTCTCTATGCTGAATTGTGTCAAACCCATTCACAGGGACCACAGTAGCTGGCCTGATTTTTAAAGCTTAGGCCAAACAAGACGTGAGACTTGGGTGAATCATTCCTCAGGTCTCCGGCCCATGACAACCAGGTGACTCCTAGTCTGAGACCTGGGGCTCATGTGCTCTCTCCTCCATATTCCCCCTTCTCCTAGGACTCGGGTCTGAGAGATGTCACCCTTGAGCTCTCCCTTGGTCAGAGATGTAGGCAAGCCCAGTTCTGGCCCCTGCTCTTTGACCCTAACCCTATGATGCTGTTTTGTGCTCTTATAAGCACAAGCTGGCCAGCTTTTCAAGTAAAGAGGACCTGCAGGGAAGGGCTGGAAGAGGGACAATGAGCTTTATGAACTCTGAGTGTCCCACACCTTTGCCAGGGGCCCACCCGTGCGAGGGAGAGGATGGCGTGGGGTGAGTTTTAAAGGGGCAGCCCAGCTGCTTTTCTTTCCCAGGTGGGAACACCAGATAGAGATGAAAGCCAGGGAGAGGCAAGGATGGCAGGGGTTGATCCAAAGCTAATTGGTCATTGATTCTTGGCATCTCTAGCTCAGGTCACACTTTTGCTTTTAGAGGAGTATGAAGACCACACAGCAAGTGCCTAAAGTCAAGGGGCTGAACATCTGGCCATCTCCTGAACCGGGATGGTCCTGGGAACCTGAGGATTTGTGATGCTGTGGATAGCTACAAAAAACTTCACCTGTCACTTAAAAAAAGGGTGGTTGGGGGCTAAGTTTCTCCCTTTTTTGTTACACAGCTGCAATTCCAAATGCGCAGCGGCCCTTGGGTTTGCCATGCGCTTAGCCATGCAGCTGCTGGGAGCTGGATGTTGGGCTGGCCAAGCCCACCTCTGGGGGTCTCCGCTATGGTGCTATTTTGTGAGGCTTCCCCAAAACCTTTACTTCCATCCTGGTAACCCACAGAAAAATCATATTTCATCTTCTTTCTCACTGACAAACCAAAAGCTAGCTAACAAAACCCACAGAATGTCTCCGCCGTATCTTTCCATCTGCTCAAAGACTGCGTAGAGAAGCTGCCACCAGCTGGGTGGCTCTGTGATCGTGAGCAGTCTGTGACAGGAGGCATGGCGCTTGCCATTCAGAGTTGGTGTTCGGCACTGCCTGATCTCACCTGGCTGCTCCCGGCTTGTCACGACACCAGCATCTCCCTGGTAGACCTGCCACTGTCACGTGCCGCGGGATCCCTGATACAGCAGGTTTGGCCAGTTAGAAACCCAAGAGTGGAAAAGCCGAGCTCTATTTATAGAGTGCTCAGGGCCTTCACATCTCAGCGGTGCCAGGCTAAAAGGTCTGAGAGGGCAGGGGAGGCTGGCGGACCCGTCCGGTGGCATAAGAGCACTGGTTGGGGAGGAAGGAGGGAGGTCGGCTGGATCCAGCGGGGCTCTGTCCACTTGTTCCCCTGCTTCAGGTTTTGTTTCTGGTGGCTTTGATAGTCTCGTAGGACATCCTTTTGTATTCCAGTGGCCTTTCCGCTTTCACAGTTCTCCTTTTGAAGGGGATGAGCTCAGCACGCAGGCTGCCCCGCTCTGCAATCAGCTGTGTTGGATAATGCGGCCTGACATCCTCTCTCACTCACTCTGTTTTTTTCTCAGCCCGTATGCAGTTCCAGTCCGGTAGGATGTGGGGCAAAGCCCTTGGGGGGACGGGCTTGAACAGAACAGGCTCGTCCTGGCCTTGCCCTGACCTTTGGTGGGCAAGAGAAGCAGGGAAAGGTGTGTTTGCCGTGCCCCTCCACCTTTCCCTCTGTCCCTCCCTCCCCCCCCCGTCCCCTTGGAGTTTGAGCCATCCAGCAGAATTTCTGATGCAGTCTCTGGGCAGGGAGCCAGCCCGTCACCGAGCGCTGGTTGAGGATTTGCAATCAGGCTTTCCAAAGCGAAGGAGCTAGGAGGCTGCTGAAACGGGACCAGGGAACTGGCAGAGCCGTGGCTGCAGATGGAGTGAAGGCTGCAGCCTTCTGGGGTGCCCGGGGTAGGAGGTTCCCTAAGGCACGGTGAAGCATTCAGCGTCGGGGTGCTGGGATGTGCACCCGTTGCCCCTGAGAGCAGGTCCCTATTGTGGGGTGAGATTCCCCCCCGTTGGCCCAACAGACCCGTGCTGTCCTACATGCTTGCCCTCTGTGCTGGGATTTACAGGCTCCCTTGCACGTTATCCCCTCTGACTAATGCCAGAGAGCAAAGCAGCAGGGTCAGCACCTGCATCAGAAGAGGGAAGGAGCCTTCCCCATGCTAAGGACTGTCCCCAGCCAGCGTGTGCCTCCGGAGAGGCTGTGCCAATATTAGCAATCCCACCATCTCCGAAGTCACGAAGCAGAGCCCCAGAGTCCTGACACAGGCTTCCTCTGATAGCTGCAGGTCTGGTGATCGCCAGACTCCAGCATGAGGCTTGAAGCGGGGAAAACTAGGTTAGGACTTGCAGTAAAGTAGACTTTCCAGCACAGGGTCCAGCAGCCCAGATCCATAGTCAAGCTTCCTCGAAGCCTGACAGGGATGGGATCGGGGGGGTTGGTTCTGATCCACCTCACACAAAGGGCTCCGTATTTATCTTTGCAGATTATAAAGCCAGAAGGGACCATTGTGATCACCTTGTTTGACCTCCATGATGGCAGAGGCTATAGGACATTGCCAAACGGACCCCGTTTAATCCTTACTGAATGTATGAGAAATGGGGAACCCACCGTAGTCATGGGTGAAGAGTTCCAGTAGCGGGCTACCCTCACCGTTATAAAAAATTGTCCCTTCTCTCTAGTCTGTTTGTCTGGCTTCAAATTCAAGCCCCTGGACCTTGTTCTGCCTGGGTCTGATGGGTTGAAAAGCCTCTGTCATTGCAAGTCTAAATGAAAGATTGCTGTCCCTTACCTCCTGGTAGTATTTGGTTCCCTCTCCACTGCCTTCTCCCTCCATTCAAACACCCTCCTAATTTTGGATGCTCCAGCTCCCTGGCTCTTTATGCTATTTCTCCAGTCCCGACTCCAGAAGGTTGAACTCCTGGGGACAGCGCTGTGATGGGAACAGCACACCTTGCTACAGTGCCTTTTAAAGCAAGGGTCTCCAGGGGCTGCAGCAGTTTAGTTAAGTCCTACAACCCTGCTGGAGGGAAGGAGGTGATTGATGCATCCTCCTTGCATTATGGATGGAGAAACAGAGCCAAGGAGAAAGGAGGTGTCTTGTTCAAGGCCACGCTGAGCCAGGCTGGGAATAGGAGTGGGATGGGATCCCGTCCTGCGTCTGTCTCCACATGGGTTAGCACAGAGGGCTTGGTGCAGGGACTGCCAGGGGCTCCACCCACGAGGGGCATTTGGAGGCTGTAATAAATGGAAGCAGAGGCTGGAGGTGCGTGGGTGCCGGAGGTTCATCCCTGCTGGGGCCAAGGACACAAATATCCTCTCTCTTGTGAAGGACTCGGACAATGGTGTATGCAGCCCTTCATGTATACTCGGCTGTTTTTGCAGCCAGCTTGCAAGGAGCCTTGCGAACCTCGGTTAAAACGCTGCCTGGGGGAGGCCTTGTTGGTGATGCTGGGCTCTGTCCCATCAGGTTGTGTGTTGTCCAGGGCCTGGTTCTCTGTGGCCATGCTCTTGGGGCAGGTGAAGGCACCGTCCAGAGTGGGTATGCAGTCCTCCTGCATTTCACACCCAGTTTGCACAGATACAAATGCTTACACAAGGAGCAAGTTAGCGGGGGCCTGGGCTCTGGGGCACAGCATGCTAGACTGGTCACAAAAGCCAAGAGCCCCGATGCCCAGTGCCCCTGCTCTGTGCATTAGCCTAAACCACTGGTTCTTAACCTTCTTAGACTTCTGCAGAAAATGCCAGCTTTTAGTTTTCTCTGGCTTTTTTGGCTGCAGAAAAACAGTAAAGCAATTCTTCTCTGGCAAGGAACTCGGGCCACAGAAGGTCAGAATGGTTTTAACACTGGGGATTCCTCTCCAAAATCCCTGGGTTTGTCTTGTGACTCATGCTTGCACACCTCCCAGTGCTAACGTTGCGTGACACCCCGCAGCACCCATGAAAGGATCTCAGGGCACCCCAGGCTGCTGCGACTCCCTGGTTGAGAATCACTGGCCTAGACCTTCCCCATCCTCCCCTTCTCCTCTTCTCCCTGCCTCCCGACTCAGATCTTGCTGGATCATCTCTCTCCTGCATGGAGGGAGGCCCTGGTGGGGAGAAGCTGGCCAGCAGTTGGGCTGCTGAGAGAGAAGATGGTGGGTTAGAGGCAATCCAGTCATTTCTTTTATTTGGAGCCAGATTTTCAGCTCTTCAGGCTGGCAGAGTGCCGCTGGCTCCCAAGGCGCTCTGCTGCTCTGCACCAGCCAGGGACGTGGCTCTTGGGTGCCAGAGAAGTTGAACCCAAATGCTGCCACGAATAAGGCTCTATCCAGCACTGCTCTGGTCGTGACCTGCCTTGAGCTGGTAACGTCGGGTCTTTGAACCAGACGTGGGGAAGCACGCTGCCTGGCTCCTTGCAGACCTGGGTGAGTTTGGGCCAGGTCAGATTATTCATTGTGCTCCCCGCTGCTCTGAGGTTGTCTTGCCAGCACAAAGCTGATCCGTGACCAGCCCCGCATCCAGCCTTGCAGGTCAGCTCTCTGGCACTGTCACAAGGTGTTTATCGCTGTCAGGTGGCACAGTGCTGAATAGTGCAGATGTAGCTGCAGCTTCTTTGCGTCAAGCTGGGGGTTGGTAGTCGCCAGCCCGAGAGGATGGGGCAGGGGAGTGCCTCCCCCTTCCTGAAGGTCTGTGAAAGGTCAGGGAGTGCATTGCTCAGTCTGTTCCCCGGATGCAGAGCCACTGTTCAGATCTCTGGAGTCCCGGGCAGGCAGGAGAGGGAGGGAACTGGGGGGTGATGCTCTGGGATGGTCCCCTATAGCCTCCTGACCAGGATTTGGGAACTATCCCTGGGAATCTATCCCTGGTTTTATTCTGAGCCCGGTGTATGTGGGGCGAGGAGGCTGGGGGCTGGGAGAGCTCTGGGTGGATCCCCAGGCAATGCAGAGAGAGCTCATGGTTTGGGTCTCTGGGCACAGTAACCTTCTCAGTTCCATGTTTGCTTCCAGCGTGAGACCCCCTTGCTCCCTGCTTGTTACCCTGGCAGGTGAGGAAAGCCCTTTGGGTTACTGCTGGAGCAGAAACTAGGCAGGGTTTCCAAGCAGCTCTAGCAGGGCCCTACCAGACTGCTGATCCATCTGTACTGTCAAGGGGGTTTTGCTGTATGCACCCTTGCACCCCCTCCTTGTCCATAGTAACTGCAGAGCCCTTGCATGGCAGAGCAATCTGGGGAGCAGCCGTGCTAAATAATTGGCTCTAAGATACAAGCTGGCCAGCTCCCAAGGGCATGGGATTTTCTAGGCCTCTGGCGTTTTCACCCAGAGCTGTCTGTAATCACCTATGACCAGACGAGTCCAATGTGCCAAACACCAATTCTTCCCATAAATTTTTTCCCCCTTTCACGACCCCCATTTTCCAGAGTCCTTTGCTGCCATTACAGCTGAACGAGGGAAAAACCCCACCCCTAATGCCCTGGACTGTTGAACAATGAATTGGTGCTTTCAGTTCCTCGCACCTTGCATGGCTGTCGGCAGCATTCACGCTGGGCTCAGACAAACCCTAGTCCTTCTGTGTTTAGAGAAGGAAGTCCAGACATGGGGGGCTTGGCCTTCAGAGCTGCCGTGCTCCTCCATCCCCCACTGACCTCACCCAGAGCTGGCAGCAATTGGGGCCTATCATGTTGTCTAGTCTTGGTTGAAAATATGGAAAATCTCAGGGACAAGGAGCCACCTCTCTGTGGCCGGTTATATGTGCGGAGCTTTCTTCACAGGCTGGGGGCCAGAGACAGCATGGTTTTAAAAACTGGGGAGTGGGAAATTAAATACAAGCAGAAACTCAGGTTCTGTTAAACTGTCCTGAAACCCAGGAAAGCATCTTCATGGACCCCCTGGGGGTCACAGCCACCAGGACGAGAGCAGCGGACCTAGAACCAAGCACGCCCAAGGCTGGCGGTGTGTTATCACAGCAGCGGTGACTGCAAGCCGTCCTGGGGAGGGACTATCTTCAACTCCGTGTTTATACAGCACCTCGCATCATCTCCGACTGGAGATGCTGTGTTTTGTTATGAATTACAGATAATGCACAGTACTTGTCTGGGGTGCCCGGGCCCTAAAAGGCCCTTGGGACTGGGCAGGGGACAGGGCTGTCTCTGTTGCAGGGCGGGTCCCGGATCACTGGCTGCTGCAGTGGTGTGGTGTCAGCAGTGTCTTGGTCTCCCCTGCTCATTACCTGTGGCACGTTGTCGGGGAGGTTTCTGCGGTGCTCCCTGGCTGTGGCATGAATGAGGGGCTGGAGCAGATCTTGTTGTGGACCCTTTCTCATAAATGGTTTCCTGTGAATGCAGAGGCCTGGATTTGATGGCCCGGGAGGTCCATCCCACGTCCCTACATGTCTCAAGCTGTTTCCTGAGCTCATTGTCAGCTTTTCCTGTTTGGACAAGTTCCTTTTTGGCCTTTTATCTTCCTTTTCCCTCTCCCCAGATGGCTGGCAGATGGGTTAGGGTTGGGGGGGTTGCAAACTGAGCCTTGAGTCCCGGCGTGGGCCTTTTCCTCGGTTCTGCGCTATCATTCATCCTCGTTTGCAAGGTCTCGTGTGAATCACGCATGCCACAACAGGCCCGGCGGAAAGCTGTTTGGCTTCCTCCCCTCACTCCCGCACCCCGGTAGTTTCTCAGCCTGGATCACTTGATGACTCGTTTGCAGGAGCAGCTCTGCTGGAATCTGCTGAGTCCCCTGAGACGTTCATCTGGTCCCGACGGGTGGGAGTGAACGCTGCTCTTCCTTTAGGTCTGCCCTCCTTCATCCATTTCAGAACCCATCCAGAAAGGGACAGCAGCAGCACTCACACCTCAAGGCATCCGAAAAGGGGAAGGTCCTTCAGAGGAGGAAATCCATTGATTCACACTTCCTTTACGAGCGTTGTTCTCGATACAGGAATCAGAACTCATGGTAGAGGTGTGACATCTTTGAGTAGACCAACTAGATATTTGCAAAAAAAAACCCATTTTCTTTAGTTGCAAGCTTTCGGGCATACGCACCCTTCCTCGGGCATAGGAGAATGCAAAGATTGTAAAAGTGCCTTTCAGGGTTGATCCCAGCTCCTGCTCGGGCAGGAGGCCTCCTCGCTGATGTTCACACGCTGCAAGTTTTAAGTGGTTGAAGTTGCCGGATCAAGATGCTTCATTTTCCTTTCCTTCTTAGCAACGCTTGCATTTACCCGCATGGCTCCTATTCATTTTGCCGCGAACACTTTAGGTGAGCATCCAAGCCCAGCTTATAGCTATTGAAAACCCAAGGTGAGGTGTGATGCCAGAACCACTGTGGACAGGCAGGTTTGGGCTTGGATTTGATATTTTGGGCAATTTTTCAAAGCAGAGTAGAGCAGCAGAGCACTCATGGGGGTGGGGGGGAGATCTGGGCGCAAGACATTTGAGGGTTTCACTTTGAAGCAAATCTGGGTCACGGGAGAAATTGTGCATGTGTCTGTTGGTAGGAAAACAGGTGAGAGGCATGGGGGAAAACAGGGACCGTTCCTTGAAAGGTTTACCGTGCATTTGCAATGGTCTGACGCTGCCCGGGTGCTACAGGGACAGGCGCCATGAAGACGGTGGAAGCAAAATTCTGTCCCAGCTGCCAGTCACGCTGCTGCTGCTGCAGGTGACAACTTGTCATTCTTGCAAATCTGAGAAACTTTGTCTCTGGGTCCCTGGGGAGCCGCGCTTGTGTGAGCACAGCCCGGCAAAGCAGTTTCAAACTCTTCAGAGACCTCTCTAGGGGCTCTTAGACAGGAGATTTTCTCAAGGCCTCTGTTATCTAGGCCTGAAGGATTTGCCTGCATCTCCATTTTAGGGGTGTGTGGGGGTGGAACAGATGTGCAGGTACCAATTTGCAGATCGGGGTTTGCCCACACAAAACGGATGCACTTGCACCGTCTGCAAGTGGGATGGGGCAGCTGGCTGGGGTGCTAACCCTTTATTTTTGCACTCCCCTGGCCTGTGGTTGGGCAGCTTGGAGAACAGAGCTTGCACTGAGCTGCAGGAGTGAACCAGTGAAGCGGGGAAAGCAATTCAGCCTAGGCCCAAGCGGGCATGTAGGTCAGGGAGGTGCAGGGGACTGGAGCCTGGCCCGCATGATCCCTGAGTGACGGCACCATGTGTATCTATTTCTGAAGGGTGGGTGCTTTGCTGACACGATCAGAGCCAACCTACTGCTGAGTCAGTCTGGCGTAGTGTTTCCGCCGGGCAGGCAGGGCACAGCGAGAGTGCAAGCGAAGCCCGAGGGTGAACCTGGGCTGACACCAAAGTGCTCTGAGTCGACGTGGGCTCCGGAGTTGGGGTTAGCATCCAGTGCTGCTCCCCACTCCCTTGTGCCATGCTTGAGAGCAAGGGCACTGCTCGTGCTTCATCCCT